TACGTATTATCCTCTGATTATTCTCTCTAATCATGGAATAAATCATTCTTCGGCAATTAGGAATTTCAGGGTACGTTTGGTTCATATAAAAATTATTTCATGAAAATTTTTCTTATGAGAGAACTTCTCCATGTTAGGAGGTATGGAAGATTTTTCACACCAATTAGTCCATTTTCATAGTGAACTTTTCGACTGTGGACCAATTGGTGTGAAAAAACTTCCATGCCTCATGACATGGAGAGTTATTTCATATGAAAAAATTTTCATGGAAGTTTTTTCATACGGACTTGACAAACTATTCATGTTGTCTGAAAATATTTTCACATCAAAAAATTCCCTCATGTGATTAGGTGTGGGAGTTTTTGGTATGTATGAAAATATTTTCACATCAAAGAATTCCCTCGTGTGGTTAAGTGTAGGATTTTTTTTCACACCAATTGGCTGCTAATTTGTCTGGAAAAAATGCATTTGGAATATATGTTGTGAAAAAACTCCCACACCTAGTTACATGGGAGAGTTCTTTAATGTGAAAAAATATTCACAAAACTATTTTCACCGATATCAAACATGCCCAGAAGGAGATGATTGTTCACTTTTATCACAAGCCCCCTTAGTTTCTACAGACGCAGGCCAAGCTTCAAGAGGCAGATCATATGAAGTGAGCTCAGTTCCTGCAAGAGTTTGAATTGGTGATTAAATACGAGAAGGGCCAACAAGATTGCTGATTTTCTGCCCCCACAACTGTTGTTTCTACCACTTTCTTTGACTTCGGGGACTTTAGGCAAAGTACTAGGAGGGGTGAGGAATCTGGGAAAAGAAGACGATCTCTCTACTGCTGAAGAATGAATGTGTTCTTAAGACATTGTAGAAACACAGATAGGGTTGATGACGGAACAAACAATGAAACTTTATGACAGCAGTGTACTAGACAATATCTCCTTCTTTAATAGCGGTATCACAATCAAAAGACTACAATACTTGCATTCTTATTCTCAAGATTCAACGTTATTTCTTTCACACTACTGGTAAATTCAACCATTTCCCTGCCTGAATCGTGTTAAATCCAAAAGCCCATTATTTGTTGAACATGTGAAATTTTTCGTTAAGAAAATAATATAAAATAAAATTGGAAAACTTGGAAGGCGGAGAAATTTGGCCACCCACCAAAACTTAATTCAAATGGGCAAATTCCTTATCACAAATTGCCCGGTTTTAGAAGGCAAAGCGTGGTGCCCTATATTGAACATTACTCCTCCTTTGAGGTTATCCTATGAATATAAATTTGAGTAATCCATTTTATTGATTTTGGGTCATCCATTTAGATCGTCACATGTAAAATCACCGGTAGTAAAAGAGAGACACCGGCAGTAAAAGAGAGACATGACTCTAAATTACATAAAGGAGAAGCGTAAAATAGAAACCGAATTCAACCAATTATTGAATTGGCCTCTCTCTCTTTCAAACATTAGAATGAAAATGATCGCACCCAATTATTGAGTTTGGCCTCTCTAGATCGATGAAATGAAGAAAAATGGGTCTTTCATAGCTTGTGGTTTAAGGCTTTCAATGGCTGACATTACGACGAGTAAACCAGAAACTCCAATTTTGATACCGTTGAATATCACGCCATAAGACGGGATTCTTCACAACTATTTATTGGGGAGTGATTTCATGTCACCGTTTCATTACAAAACAATGAAATCACACTTCTAGAAAATTATGTGTGGTATTTGTATGACCCCAAATTTTGTATAGTCATTCTCTTTATAGGCAAGATTTGTATAAGACACCATCTTTATACTGTAGAAAGTAAAGTGCACATCTAAAATTTATTTGGAGAAATAATTTTGGTGTCATAAACCCTATAATGGCTTCAAAATCTTTTTTTTAAAAAAAAAATTTCAAAAAATGATATAGATCGATTAAATCTATAAACACATAAAAATCTTGAAAATAGATGGTCTAGATAATTTGTGACAATATGCAATATTTTTAGGGCTTGAAATTTTTTTCTTTCTTCATATCCACCCATTTTGAGGCTGAAATGATAAATTAGAGGGTTCTCCAATATCGAACAACTCAAAAGTATAGCATTTTATAGGTACACCTCACTTCAACAATATAAGGTTTTTACCTTATAGAACCTTTTTCATTCTCTTTATCCCAACAATCAGCTCCAAATAATAAAAGTTAATTTATAGCTTTGTACGATAACCTCTTTCAACAATGAATCTTGATTATCCATTTGATGGATTTCAATATGTATACTTTTAAGAACTCAAAATTACAAAACCATCTAAAAAAATTGAAAAAGAAAAAAGAACTTTTAAAACCTAGAACTAAGCATCTCACCAAATAGATAGCCTATTTTAAGATAGTTTAAAAACACTTTGGGGTACATTTTCAAATTTGGTTGTTTTTGCGGCCAAACAAATAAGCTTAACATAGTTTTTGAAAATTATTTATTATATTACTATATAACCATTGCATGAAATTACTCCCCTTATTTATCAATTAATTTCATGGGCTCCTTGGGTCCAAAGTGTTTTGTCCATATTCTCACTTTTAAAACAATAACTTATTAAATCGAGAAAGATATATCTTTTAAGGGAAAATTATATCTTTCCAAAGTGTTTTTGAAAATTATTTATTCTATTACTATATAACCGTTGCATGAAATTACTCCCCTTATTTATCAATTAATTTCATGGGCTCCTTGGGTCCAAAGGGTTTTGTCCATATTCTCACTTTTAAAACAATAACTTATTAAATCGAGAAAGATATATCTTTTAAGGGAAAATTTATCAAAATACCCTTGACAGATGAATTGTCATTCTATCTATTTGCAACTAATGTAACTCAAAATCATATTTTTTCTAGGTGTTTCAAAAATAAATAAAAAAATATAAGCAATGTGCAAATTGTTCATCTCTAATGAGTCATGATAACTTTTCTATCTTTAAAAAACTAAAAATGTATATAAGTGCAAGTCTCTAATCAATCAAATTATAGCACACCTCAAAAATTTCACTAGAAGAGGTTCTTTTGATGCTCAAATATCTTCAAATTGATCCATCTCGACCTCATAATACATAGATATGAAAAAAAATAGATTTCAAGTTTTGGAAATGGTACATCTTGTAATGCATTTTTGAGCCGTCAATTTTCAAGATTTTCAAACTTTCATAGATCTACTCGATCTACATTGTTTTTTATGCTTTAAATTTTATAATTCGAGATGAAAATTCATTTTAAAGCTATCACCAAGATTTTCAGTAATAAAACCATATTTCTCGATACTATTTGAATGTGCGATTTATTTTGATTGTTTAGAGCCTTGGCTCTATACAAACTACACGTGGACACTATTTGAATGTGCGCTTTACATATGGTTGTTTAGAACCTCCGCTCTGTACAAACAGCAGCCTTAAGAAAATGTGGAGCTTCGATCGTGATGCCCATATTGTAAGGTTTAAATGTTGCTAAATTTAGAGAGAGAGAGAGAGAGAGAGAGAGAGATTCGAAGAGTTCTGTATGGCATATGGCCATTTGGGGCATCCGTTATCAAAAGGAAAGGTTTATAGTTTATACAAAGTGCCAACCCTAACCGAGTGGTACTTAAAAAGCTATAAAAAGGGATATTTTAATATGGTAGACCCCTCGAGGAAAATATTTTTCGAAGTATTTAACTCAGCCTCGCCCTCTCCGAGTTGGGCGCACAACGGAGGGATATAAAAAAAATTCATAAACGCTCTTAAAAAATTTAAAAAATGCTGGCATGTTTTATAATCTCTTTTCTATACGATTTAGATGTATTTTGTAAAGATTGACGAGTGTCATTTGCCATTATCATTATATTTATATTTTCTTTTTTTTTAAAATTTTTTTTAAATATTTTACAACGTAAGTCAAACTCCGCATTAGTTGACCTCTAGCCAATCATGCCAATCCTTAATCCAGGAAGCGGATTATATTAGGCAAATAAACAACCTAAACCTTTATCAAATCTTTTCATGAATCTGAACGTAGATTTTATGATAGTAATCTTACATTATAAATTAGTTTTTTCTCGAATTCATTTTTCCTCTACATTTGTAAAAGCTTGTTTTAACTTTTGTAAGTGAGTTTTAATTTCTTTTTACTACATGTTTATTATTTTATCAAAAAAAAAAAGTTAATTTTTTGAAAAAATATTCAATGAGAACATTTATCTTTGCTACAACTAGTCACAAATAATCTTGACTATTGGATGTGAAATTAAGTGGTTGCATTTATTCAATTGACCAAGCTCAAACTTCAAAGAAAAAAATCTTGTCTTGACTATTGGATGTGAAATTAGATGTGAAATTAGGTGATAGCATTTATTCCATTGACCAAGCTCAAACTTCAAAGAAAAAATTCCCCAAATTAAACTTTACAATACACCCAAGGGTCCAGATTTCACATGGGATGGTTCCGGATTTCACATGGGATGGTTGTCCATAATTGTAACCACCTTATATAAAAATTAAATGGTCTCATTGTATACGATCCTATTTTTTGTTCAGGGCCAAAAGGTCCTATACTGGACGTGGTCGAGTTACTTGGCTTGGCCAAGGTACCCGGGCCCGTCAATTTTTTGTATACTACTTCTAATACATTATCGAGTTTCTTGGCTTGGCAAGGGTACCCGGGACCGTCAATTTTTTGTATACCACTTCTAATACATTATCCAGACCGTCAATTAATTTTCAGATGGTTATAAATATGCGCGATCCCCATTACTTTTAGAGCTTTGAAGTGTGAAAACATGTTTTTAGTCTATCACAGGAAGTTTCAACTTTCAACAATAAAACTCAATCCAGGAATAGTCAAAATGCAAACGAGAATGATTCTCCCCTTCAAATTATTTTTAAGGAAATAAGAACCCAATTCTTATTCACGGGCACAACAACCTCCAAGAAACAAAAAGACAAAGCACTTTCACATGCATAAAAAGAAACATTATCACTTTCACATGATCACATTAGACTATGAACTGCATAAATAATAAAAGGTGCACACTCAATTTTGAAGATGCATAAATAAATAAAAGCAAGGCCCATCTCATGCCCTAAAGTTACAAAACAGAATTCAACTTGGGCCATAAACCCATCTATTAATTCCAAAGAAAATAAAACAAAGACCAAGACAAACCACCCAAAATAAATAAAAATGACGACCAAATGAAAAATATCATCCCTCTCTCTCTCTCTCTCTCATGTGTGAATGCGAGTTTAATGAAGGTAGCCCACATTGACCAAACACCAACCAAGTCTTCCTTATGGAAAAATTGGTCAAAAAAAAATTAGACTTTAATTTTCATTTATTAGAGTACGAGAGAAATGTAGAGAGAGGAGAGAGAAAATCACAGGTGTTGCGAAAGCTGAAGATAGATGACAAATGTCAACCCCACCAACCCATACCACGGCGCCCTCATTGATGGTGAACTGTTCTTCCCGCTGCCTGTTATAAAATAACGAAATAATATATCTTAGTTAGGAGAGAGAAAGAGGAGAGATATCTACAAGCATATGAAAAAAGGTAAAGTACATTTATGATGAAATCAACAAATCATAGAGACATTTATTATATATTTGGGTAAGAAGCTGTAATTGATAATCTAGAGAGAGAAAGATTTCTAAATGACTATAGGATCCTCCAGTTGCTTGGTGAAGAGACAGATACCTGAGCCCCCAGATGAGGTATTTGGAGAAGAATTCGCAGAAGGAGCTCCTAAAATCAAAATCAAAGAAACAAATCAAAAGATCCATTCAATCTAAAAAGAAAAAATAAAAAATAAAATGCAATCGAACATATAAATCCTCTGAAAAATCGAGTCCCAAACAGCAAAGAAAAATAGATCTAAGGCGGACCATTATGAGAGACCCAAATAGCAAACAAAAAACGAAACTCTGATATATTACCATAAAGGAGGACAGAGAAGCAAGGAGCCAAACCAAACAACAAAAGCATTGTGGTTCTTGGGGTGTAAACAAAAACCCATAAAAATTACAATTTTGCACAGAGAGAAAGGACCCAATTACCCAAATCAGAAACCATTACAGAGAGAGAAAGAGAAATAAACCTGCAGTGGAATTGCAAGCAGAGGCTGTGGACTTGAATCCACAATGCTCAGGAAGCAACAGAGCCTGGGTTCTGTTGATGTTCAAGGATTTAAAGACGCTTGGATCGTTGAACAGGGCGCAGAGACATGGAAGTTCCGTCTCTATAGCCTGTTTCAAATCATCACAACACTCCTTTCCAGGAGTAGTTGAATTCAGATAACTAGCACAAGGTACCAGTTTATTGGCACATTCTTGAGCCCCTGTTCCCACCACCATGGCCATCACCACCATCGTCATGGCCACACAAAAACCAGATGAGAATCTCATTTCTCCCTCCTCTTTCTCTCTCCTCTTTCTCTCTCCTCTCTCTGGTTGACTGTCTAGAACAGCAGCCCCAAATGCTGAGATTTATAGAGGCGCATCGCCGCTTGTCGAATTTTCTTTCACGAAATCCAATTGGAATTTGGGATTAACCACATTTGATATTCAAAGCTTCTGAGATACCTGAAATAACCCTAGCCTATTTTCCAATGCTTGATTTGTCCCCTCTATCCACTTCCTGGCCACTTTTGGTTTGGCCTATAAGGTTATGGAATTCATTCGAGGAAAAAATTTATATAAGGTGTCAACTTTATAATGTACAAGTAACGTGAACCTCAAAAATCCACAGGAACAGGTGGTTTTCATGTCGAAAAGCCCCTCAAATTGATCATCTTCATGACGTAAAAAAAATGATTTTGTCTAAAAAATAATTTTTTTTAATACATTATCCGGACCCTCTATTTTTAAGATTTTCAAATATTTACAGATCTTGTAGATCTTCACCATTTCCAAAAATTTTAAATTTCATAATTGAAGGCAATAATAGATTTTCATATCATCTCATATCATCTCAAGACTTTGCGATACGAAACGGCATAATTTTGAAAGCACTTTACTTCAATAGTATAAGGTTGACACCTTATACAAAACCTCACCCATCCTTTGAAGTGCCTTAATGATGGGTGCACTTTTCTTTCGAGACTCATAGGTATAGAGTTTGGATAGGATATCCTAATATATATATTTTTGCTCACATCATTATTATTAGATCAAATCTACTCGGTTATTGAATAATAAAGAGTCTAGTCCAATTAAAATCAGGTTAATAATAACTCAATCAATTAAATTTAATTTTTAAGAATAAAATTAATTTAATTTATAAAATATATTAAAAAAATTGTCCAATTAGTATTTTTAGCGGTCGAATTGATCAAACCTAACCAGTTCAATAGATCAAAATTGATTAATTATTAATTTTAACTAATTTTCTATTGAACTAATTTTTTTTACTTTGGATCATACCAGCTAAACACCACCAACCAAACTGGCACAATAGTTGTTTACGGCCTCAGATTGTGTTCTAAATATGAATAGAAAACATAAAACTTTTGTCCACAAACATATGGCTCCTTATGAAATTTGTTTTTATGATATGTTAGTAGCGGAAATGGAAAGTGGGTTGTTATGTTGATGTATCAAACCCCTAACCATCTATGCCCAAACCCCATTTTGAAATATGTTATAATGACTCTCTATAAAAAACTTCTTATAGAAAAAGGAAAAGACTTCTTACCCATAAATCTTATAAGAATAAGATTGACTTGTTTTAGATTTCTTTTGTTTTTAACCCCTCATTTGAACCGGCACCATCGAGAATGCGACATTCAATAGGATCCTAGTCGCAGCAGCACCATTAAATATGGTACGTTGTCACTAACTATATACGGTTATGTGGTTGTCTGTTTCCATCAAAGTCTTTGGTCTACCCAATAGTCCAAAATGCAACGAAATGTAGAAATGATGCACATCAATGATTTAAAAAACATTGGGTAAGCACGGAATGATGCGGTCTGATACGGGAGTCGGTCATCCAATTCCAGTTTTGCTGATGTAAAAACGGCCTAGTCTAAAAAGAGTAACAATTCTCTGCAACAAAATGATAATTTAGACCGTTAATTTGTCGATCTGAATAGGTTTTTGGCCGGTTCACTGCTGTTTTGTTACATATTTTTTTGCCTATTCATTATTTTTTCTGTACAGTAAACAGAAATCCAAACCGCCATTCACTGATCCATACTAGTTTTTGAACTGCTCGATCCGAGTCACTTACGTTTTGTAAATCAGTGATGTATATAATATGGAACACATTGTCTACACAAAGGGGTCATACACACTCTGCCTCCCCAATGGACGGTTTAGATGCTATGTTCATCCCCCATTGGTCAGTGGCCTACTATCTAGTGAACTAACGATCAATCTGTGCTGTTTCTTGAGGTGAACGAATGGCAGATTTTCTTTTGTGCACCGCATAATATGAACTTTGTGAATATGACATAGCATTACCCTCACATAATAAATCACATTGTCGGAGGGCCTGCAATGAGGGGAGTAGCCCAGCATGGCCCAATCTGCCCGGCCCTAACAAACTAGGCCCTGCACCCCAAAATGGGGCTTGAGTACTAGGCCAGGGCCCGGCCACCACGGCTCAGGGACCTAGGTTTGACAAGGGCCTGGGCCAAGGTTGGCCCAACCCAGCCCTTATTTTCCCTCTTTCGTTAGTTCAATTGAGCCCATCCCCGCCCAAATAGGGTCGGTCCAAGAGAATCCCTCAAGATCGGTACAGAGGAGGGTCGATCTGATACCCAGTATTTATATATATATTTAAACCCCAACGTATACAAAATCCCTCTGCAACATGGTCCCCTAAAATTATCAGTTTAGAGAAATAAATTACCTTGCTGATATTTAATTGTGGAATTAGCAATACGAGTTTGAATTCCAGCTTTAAATTTAAATTTGTAAGCATGCTCAACTTTTTTTTTTTTGCAAACGATCGTGGTGAAGACATGCATTATCATCATCATCGCCACCATCATCATTCATCAACATAATTATTAATTTGAGAATAAATAAATTCAGATAAGCAACATATAAAGTTGGGTGAGAATTTTTAACTGAATGCAGTGATGAAAACTGCATGATTTCATGTTGGACCTGCTTTTTCTGCGTGGCAAGCATCTTTTCTTACAAAAACACGAGTTCATAGCCACCTTCCACGAACAGTCAACGAAAATAAAAGGACCAGGTAGCATACCGGAAAATGAAAATATAAACAATGTCTAAGAAGAACAATAACAAGGGAAGGGAAATTTATTGAAATATACTTTTTAATGGATTTTAAAATTTATGAAAAATAAACCTTGGGTAAACTGTAAAATAGTTCAAAGATTAGGTGGATTTTGATGAGGTGTTTATAAATAGACCATTTATTTTTTTGTACACGGAGATCACAATCATTTCTACTTATTAAATGTCGAACTGGATGGCTTGGGGTGGGGTGAGTTAGGAAGTCTGAATTTTTTTTTGGAAGTTGTATTTATTTAATGACACTCTTACGACCACCCATTTTGAAATTTAAATGACAATAATGATTGTAACCTCCATGTACAAAAGATAAATGATCTCTTTGTGACCTCCATATACAAAGAAAATCTCCCATAGAATAAACTGTGACAATTTCAAAATGTAAGTTAAAGACAGTAAAGGGCCATGCAGGCTGGCCTGCCTTTGAAAATACAGAGCTAAGGCCGCAAAATGTAGTCGGAGGGCTGGTTGGGGCTAGAGCCTAAACAAGATCGCTTCGCCTTAGCACTATGTTTTTTTTTTTTTTTTTTCTATATTTATGTATCTTAGACGCCCAGCCTAGCAAGGCCTATGGCCAAGACCCTTCAGACCTTATCTTTGAAAGGCTAACCCAATATGGATCCGAACTAAGGCTTGGGCCTATGTGATAACTCTCGTTTACCTTTGGTACAAAAAGGTCACAACTATACCGCATAAGCCAAATTAGGTGGCTAAGGGAGTGCAATTTTTAGCACAAAAATTGTCAAGCAAAAAAAAACTATTGGGACTTTGAGCATTGTAATGGACATGTTGATTATGGCACAATGAGTAACCATGAATACTTTCTTTGGGAGTGACATATTCCTTCAAATTTTTACTCATATCTGAAGAATGATAACCCTATGAGGACTTCAAAGAAGAGCAAAAAATAATTTGAATAATTGTTTTAGTTGTTTTGAGGCTATTTTAGATATATTATTTATTTATTTCATTGCTAGACCAATTATAAATTTTAAAATATTTTAATTAAAGTTAGTAAGTCTAATTTCCAATTATACTTAAGTGATGAACTTTTGGTTAAACATTTAATTATATGAAAAAAATATTGTTCAAAACATGAAATAGGTAGTATTTAAATGGAGCATGGATGGCCGGAGAGAGATCGTGCATTTCTTTTTTCAGAGAAAAATACAACAATTTTAATTGTATCTGTCCAAACATTAAAAAGGCAGTATTTAAGTGGGTCGTGCACTTCCTTTTTTTTTTTTAAAGGAAAAATAGAAATAAAATTAGTTTGAAATGGAAGTTTATTCAAATGAAAGCTTCCTACAAGGCCTTCACATTTGCCCATAACAGCACATGAAGTGAATAATCCACGATCGAACAACTACTCTCTCTTCCTCTATATATATATATATATAATATACTAGCAAGCAAAACTTGAGCTCCACGTTCTTTCAATGAAAAAATTAAATGCAGTTTCTCTATTTGATTTTAAAAGTCAACATTATATTTCTACAACTTTTGCTAATGCAAGAAATCTTGATTCTATAAAACTTTCTAATGCAAGAGGTCGTGATTTGTATATTCTATGTTACTGAAATAATCCAAAATTGATAACGATTCACATAAAAGTTTATTTAAAAAGAAAGAAAGAAAATAAAGTATCACGATTCATATAAAAGTTATACATTTGTAGTAATTTAGTAAATTAAGCATTTATAAATAAATGGAAAGGAAATATGCGGATGGGAAAGGTTGAGATTTCACAAGGCCATATCTAATGGCCAAATTTCATATTTTATTTTTATTTCTATTTAAATAAAATATTTATATGAATTTTTGGGTATAGATTTATTTTTATAAAGAGAACTGCATAAAATTTATTAAAATTAGTTTAAATATAAATAATCAAAATACCCCTAAATTTTCTTTAATCCATATTTTTATTCAATATATATATATTTTTTATTTAATTATGATTGTAAAAATGAATCTAAAACTCAAATCTCAGATTAATCTTATTTCTAAATAAAATTATAATAAAAAACAAGGTTCATTTTTTGTCTTTGGATGAGGCTGGTTTAATCTGAAAGTGCTTGTGCCAACCTTAAATAAATACCAAATATTCGGCTCAGTTTTGAAATAGGACAATTTCGGACATTCATGATTCATCAATACAAAAAGAAATCGCGTAATAAACTTTATCGATATATTGCCTAATTTAGAGAAAATCTTGCACTTTATTTGGAATTGTAATCCGAGTATCGTTGGCTAGCTATGTTTTGCAGCATGACAAATGTGTTTTACGCGCACCTAAAAGAATACTTATGTGATTATAATTCCACTACAATTGCAGCTAAATACAGTGGTCCGAAATATCTTCTAATATTTTTAGTTGACTTATAGGAGAAACTCTGGGCCGTCACTTGGTTTGATGGTAAAAAGCTTGGGTAGCCAGCACACTGTACGGGTTCAAGTCTTGAAAGTGCGGGTTCAAGTCTTAAGAACGGTCACTTTGTGGATAAAAAGCTAAAGGTTTCTATTATCATTAATGAAAGAAAGGTAGGGTGCCATTACCCCCACTGACTTCTAAAAAAAAAAAAAAAAACTAAAAGTTTAGGACCACCCCTTCTACTTTGTTACTGTTGTTCTTAGACATTGTTGGAGGTAAAAAGCTAAAGTTTAGGAACACCCCTCCCACTTTCTTACTGTTGTTCTTAGACATTGTTGGAGGTAAAAAGCTAAGTTTAGGACCACCCCTTCCACTTTGTTACTGTTGTTCTTAGACATTGTTGGAGGTGCATTGAGAGCTTGTTCTTTGACTAGACATTGTTGGAGGTAAAAAGCTAAAGTTTAGGAACACCCCTCCCACTTTGTTACTGTTGTTCTTAGACATTGTTGGAGGTAAAAAGCTAAGTTTAGGACCACCCCTTCCACTTTGTTACTGTTGTTCTTAGACATTGTTGGAGGTGCATTGAGAGCTTGTTCTTTGACTAGACATTGTTGGAGGTAAAAAGCTAAAGTTTAGGACCACCCCTTCCACTTTGTTACTGTTGTTCTTAGACATTGTTAGAGGTGCATTGAGAGATTGTTCTTTGACTCAAGGTATTTGTCTCTTGTGAGTAACTTGACGAGCATGTTTGCCATCTAATAAGATGAAGGGATAAAGATAATAAAAATAGTGCCTGATATGACTTTTTTCTTTAGATGAAGTGCTATTCACCTTTTATATATTTAGTGTGAGCATCAAAGACATGATTTATTGCTAGTCGCATTGCACTGCGATGAAGTGATAGTCACCCTTTATATATTTAGTGTGAGCATCAAAGACATGAGTTATTGCTAGTCGCATTGTACTTTGGTTTGTTGGTGGTATAAGATCAATAAGCTAGAAATGCAATCTTTAAAAAAATTTTCATTGTATAAAAACTCAAGGGTAATGAATGAATATCTCAATACAAAACCATAATACATATATTTCAGCCTACAAACATGGTTTATACACATTTGAATAATAAAATTCAACCTTAATAGGTCCCTTACAAATCCCTTACTCAAAAATTCAATTAAATTGAATACAATATTCAAATATTCACATTGTACATCTCTACAACATATTGCATGACTTGTACTCGCAATTCTTCATTATATAAAAAATATATGATAATTTCAGCTTCATTCTTCATCATCATATATCATAATATCTCATACACATCATACACTTGATTATAATAATTCCATAAGAGTTCAATTCGCATAAACAATAATGCATAGCATTAAAGCTCAAACAACAAAATTAAAAAACTATCTCAATAGTCACACAACATACTCAATTTAACCAATAATGAATCTATTTAATAACTGTAAATACAACAAATTAACATGCAAACATATATGGGGAAGCCATGGTTCGAACCCCTTATGCCCTGGCCGCCAAAAGGCTTTTTGAGAACTTAAATTTGTTACATTATCTAAGACACGTGTGATAATAATAACTCAAGGAGATCAATCCAATGGGAAGCAAATGATCACATTTATTTCACTTAATGTGGATCAAATCATGAAAGAGACATGTATCAAAATAGCCCTTCAAAGTTTGAGAGAGATGCTACACAAAATAAAGAAGTTATGGTGAAACTACACCATGTGGTCCATAAAGGACCACCCAAACTTTTCAACATTAAAAAAGGAACTCAATAGACTATTTCTTATACTCATATATGATGAAATAAATCTCTCGTCAGTTGTAGATTCTCAGTAAAAATTTCAAAAAAATAAGATTAAGAAATCAAGTTGAAACTACTTAAGATCATGTAGTAAGCAAGCTAGTCTACACATACCATGTGTATGGACTACACTATTGCTTTGGGACTCTTCAAATATCAAATTTTCATGGCAAAAAAAGAAGAAAGCTACTGTAAATTAAGAATTACAGCAAGCTTTAATAATGGAAATGATGTAGGAATTAAAAATATGAGAAGAAAAATCAATACCTTAATGAAACAATAGTATGGGCTTGATTACATAAATGATGGACTACTCCATGGAAAAGTTTCAAATGAAAGCTCAAGGAAGAAGATAGCCTCATGAGTGACCACATTTTTGTCAAAGGCTCTCTCTCTCTCTCTCTTTGAAGTGAATACTCAAGTTAGGGTTATAATTGATTACATAAGATACTTTTATACATAGATCATAAAGATGGATTTGATCTTGATCTTTGATGCCTTAGATCAATGGCACATGAGAGACTTTTATCCAAGCCACTCATCCATATCTTATCAGCAAGATCAATGGATGAGCTTTTGACACCTTTCACTCCTTAAAACCTAGGCTTATAGTCATTTTACCTTTACGCCTTTAGCTCTATGTTTTATTTATCATTAAATCCAAATTCATGTTTACACTTATGCTCATGGTTTTTGAATAATTTGTGAGAGTCAATAAAATACAAAGACATGGACAGAAAGGTAATATGGGACATCCACACATATGAATAAAATATTTTATGACACCACCAATAGGATTTTAACAATACTAAAGTTTCATATGGGTTAAGCCTATAAGGTGGTGCCACATAAGATATACTCACATGCTACTAAATCATATGAGTATAATAATATGAATTAAATTAATTCTCAAAATTTCATGACTTCACACATGCCAAAAATGACACATATGAGCAAAAAACAAAACATGTGATTTAAATAAAACTTAAGTCACAACAATATATAACACTTTAAATAACAATATAATATGTTATAACATAATACCAACAAAAGAATTAATGACAAATAGGTCCCCACATAGAAATGACGTCAGCATGATTTTATCCACGAGTGGGGAGGTGGGGGTGCCACGTGGTATCCCTATGGCCACTTGGGATCTATGTGGCATTCCATAGAATGCCCTTGTTTGGTATTTATGCCAAACAATTTTGAAAATCATATTTTATTGTTTAAAAAAAACTGAAAAAATCTCAAACAATTATCTAAATAATTTCTCAATATTATTACATAATTTTCATCAATGTAAAATATTTTCTCATCAATTTTAAATTAATATGGGCCAAAGGTAAATGAGATCTCTAGACTTATAACACTAGTCGGAGTCTTCCATTGAGCTAACTTAAATGACGTTCCATCGGTGTTTCAAGCCGACCCAATGGACCTATGCTCCATAATCTATAGCACAGACACATAAATTGGTCACATCAAAGTCGCTAAGCCAGAGTTTCCTGTCACCAGGGGTCAATGGATTACTGGTGCACCCCTGTGGGACATGTTCCTACTCATATATATGGGTTCTCTCAGAGCACATGCGTACTAGCTCTTCTAAGTCAGATAATACTATAGAAGAGTGTCTTCCCCATATGACTGTGGGTGCACATGCCATGGAATGATCTCGTATCAGGATACTGGCTCATGGCCCATGAGCCAACCATTTCATACAGGGCGAATATTCTTTTAAATACTTGGGTTCTATTATTCTCGATTGGATTCTCCAAGCCCTGGTATATCACATCAACTATCAAACATTTTAATCAATATAGTCCTGATTGGGAGGTGACCCTTATACCTTCCTTAGAGTTCAGACTCTCAAAACGTATACTCTTAATGCCTCAAATACTCGGGGTATATGAATCTGAGCCCCAATGCGCTAAACACCCAAATTCAATCTTTCTCTAACTCCCACTGTGAGTAAGACTATTGGTTTTAAGGCTTTGAAAGACCACATAGCCAATATGATTATCACTCGCTAGTAGCACTGTACTGCACTTTGATTGTTGCGAGTAGAAAACCAAACCAGCCAACACTCAAGAGTAGAGAGGATTGTTGCTTCATTTGTTCCGCTGCACAAATCACACACACTCTCTCTTTGTCCTCATGGCTGTTGACACTAAAAAGAGTCTCTCTCCCCCTTGTCTCGAGAGAGTTTTTACTTTTGATCACCTAATTTGTGGTATGACATGGTTTCTATGCGACCATGTAGAAATGAGTCACCTCCTAAAAACCTATTTTAAAGATAAACTTTTGGACTTAATTTTAAAGGACATGTAATCTCTAACATGAAATCATGAATATATTTTTTAAAATTAAAAATAATAATTTTATTAAAAAAATATTTGAAAAAATATTTTTTTAAAATTAAAAATAACAATTTTATTAAAAAAATATTTGAGCCATTAGTTTCAATGGTTTTTAGGTGAACTTAAAATGGATGCTTCATACCTTGAGACCGCATATTGTTTCGTGCGGGCTGGCCGACATGAAACAATTACCAAACTCTGCTACTCGCAGTACCCGTTATGGTTGGAACCTAATCTCTCGTCATTTGGATTTGGGCTCCATTTTCCCGCTATCTTATTAAAAGCCTAGAAAAAAAAGTGAGAACCAGCGCACCAGCAGGCATCTCTCTCTTTCTCCCTCCTTATGACTTCGGTTTCGACTTCTCTGTCTCTGAAGGACTACCTCAAGAAATACACAGACTCGGACCAGGCCAAAAAGGATAAGACGAAGAAGAAGAAAAAGAAGAAGGAGGAGAGAGAGAAGAAGACCGGCCCTAGTGGCGTACTTGTTGTGGATGAGGACCCAATATGGCATCGACAAGTGGGAGAAGAAGATGATGAGAGAGAAGATGGGGATTGTCCTGATGAGAAACCCCAAGTTGACGAAGATATAGAGGTTAAGCGTATGAAGAGGCTGGAAGAAATTCGTGCTAAGAAACCCTATCTTTCTGTATCTTCAGATGGGAGTGGATGGGTTTCTGTCTCTGATTCAAAACCCAATTCCAAAACCCTTAGCTCAAGTGTTAGAGAAGAATCCCCTGATTTATCACCAGCTCGCCATCCACCCCATTTGCCTTCTTCAACTAATCAAAGACACGATTCACCTGATTTGTCGCCTCCTCGCCAGAATGATCGAAATTTTTCTCCCCCCAAATTGCCTTCACACTCGAGAAAAGATGAATCATCCAGTTTATCACCTCCTCGTCAAAATTATCGAAATTATTCTATACGCAAATTGCCTTTTTCTTCAAATAGGAGGCATAATTTGCCTGATTTATTACCACCTCGACAAAGATATCGCAATTCTCCTCCACCTCAGTTGCCTTCTTCTTCAAATAGGAGGCATGATTCACCTGATTTATCACCACCTCGACAGAGATATCGCAATTCTCCTTCAACTCAATTGCCTTCATCGTCAAAACGACACAACTCGCCTGAGTTGTTGCCTCCTCGCAAAAGGCATCGAGATTCCCCACCCCCCAAATTGCCACCATCTTCAAATAGAAGAAGACACGATTCCTCCAGTCTGTCTCTGCCTCGACGAAGACATGATTCTACTGATTTCTCTCCACCTCGTCAAAGAGGTGGAAATTCTCCGTCTCCCAAATTGCCTTCTTCAGAAACAATAAGACATGATTCTCCTGACTTGTCTCGACCTCGTCGAAGGGGTCGAAATTCTCCCCAATTTCCTTCATCCAGAACTATAAGACATGATTCTCCTGATCTATCTCCACCTCATAAAAAATGTCGAGATTCTCAATCCCAATTGCATGGAGGAAGAGATGGGGGCTGGGGTGAAGTGAGAGACTTGTCGCCTTCGAGGAGAGGTGGGTCTAAGGAGATTGATCTCTCTCCTCCAAGGAAGAAAGCAAAGGATCCGAAAGGGGCTGAAGCTGGACGGTCTGGTCTCTTCATTGCAGGAGAAATCAAGAAGGAGATTGAGAAGAAGAAGAGAGAAGAGTCCTTGAGGTAAATCCTTACAATGCTTTTTATTAGGATCCTCTCTGTGTGCCAAACTATCATACACTGAGTCTGCCTTCATAGGAACACAACTAGCTTCCTTTATGTCTTAATTTGATATGTTTGATATGCAATTATTCAACCTCTTATCTATACATGGAGGGTGGTAATCGAATGACATTGAGGGAATTCTTTGTATCAATAGTTGATATTAGATATGATATTCGGCAGCATGATTTCCATAATACATGAGGTTCTAGGAATTTTGCTTGATAATGCACAAGCCCATGGGGTACCTAGCAGGAATACATTTTGCCAACAATTGAGGGGATTCTGGCTTCTTCTCATGATGAGGTCATTTGATGTAATGGAATTGCATTCTAATATACACTTTTATCCCCTTGGGCATAGCTTCTCCTCTGCATGCTGCTCTGAAATTTAAACATGGGTATGAGGGACTAGCCCACATCTTCAGTATGCTCCTCAATAACATCAACGGAATTAATTCATTCTTTAATTCCTGTATGAATTTGGTTATGATTGACCTTCCAACTGCTCCTTGACAATCAATTGCTCTCTCTAATCTCAAAAATATCCAACTAGTTTTCATTAGGAAAAGAAACAAATTCTCTTTCCATACATGCTGGAACGCAATTCATTTTGCCCCAAATCCCTGCCTAGACACCCAATATTTCAAGCAATGATACTCTCGACCAACATATCCCTAGGACCATTTTGAGATCAGTTTTCTAGATTACACTTAATTACTTCGATGTTTGCAGTCCAACATACCTCGAGCCACGAAAGGCCTATTTACATGTTGCTTGGAGAGAGATGAAGTTTGTGGCCTCCCTAATTCTTTTAGATTTTAATGCCACCTGGAATTTTGCATGAACCTATTGAAAGGCTTAAAGCTATGTTCCTTAATGGTCCCATCCTCCTCTCTTTGGGGGATTAAGGAAAGGAACTTGCATTCATCCCCTTCATCTTTACCTGTTAAGCTCATCAAATACATTCATCATTACTTCTCCCATAGTGACAGTTCTGTATTCCTTGAAGAAAGCTTTGGGAAAGCCATGGGAACCAGGGCCATTATGTCTGGCAAACCAAACTATATGTACTTCTGTGACCTTCTCAAAATAAAATTTAAATATCCACTGGAGGAGTAACTTTTCAAGTGATGAAGGCTGCCAAATCTTATTCACGGGGTATCGCATTTTGAATTACAAGGGCTTCATCCCTAAGATTGTTATTAGCTATGGCCCGGTATGGATAGCCCCCAAAATGCATCTTGTCACTCTTTTGAGGGTATTTTGGACCTTGCCAGAAACATACTAAAGGGTGAGCTTTGTATACCTTATGGGGAAGGCAGACACCCAAAACCTGGTCACTTTTGTGAGTGGAAAGAAAAAAGTTTTTGTGATTGAGATAAAAAGAGGTTGACTTGGTTTTATGGTTTTATCTCACTCGTACTTTTTGACCTTTTGAGTCCCCCCCCCCGCCCTCCCCCCCCCCAAAACAAAAAAAAAAAAAAAAAAAGGTAGTGGGGGGTGTGCGCGGATCTGAAATGTAGTTGTTTTCAAAACTGTGCTGATATTATCATAATCTTCTGTATTAATTTTTTTAGAGCATTTCTTCTTTTTTACACCTCTTTGTGTACTGTTGAGATTATTATATGTGTGATCACATTCTTAAGCCAAAGAGTCCTAGAATTCTGTGTACCTTACCTTTAGGACTTTGATATGTATATCTGCGTTCTTTTTCCTATCATAATTAAACCACATTCTTCTTGCATGTCAATGGCACCCATGCCCCTTTGAAATTGTAGTTCTAGTCCTTTTCTCCTAGATCACTATTTCTTGCATCATTTTTCACAAACATCTACACACATAAAACATGTAGGGTTCCTTATCCCCCTGAGTGCAATGTCTAAATGGTTTCTGTGAGGACTTACCCTTTGGCCTAATAATAATTATCCTCTATTTATGGATTTAGTCATGGGTATCTAAATTAAGTTTTACTTCGACCTGCCAATAAGCTGTCTGTATGAGGTGGCTTATTGGTGATTGAGCAAAAATGTGTTTTGTAAAAGGTGACACCTTTGTGAACTGTGCCTTTGTTTTGGACAAATTGGCAGAAAACTATTGATGTCATCAACAAGAGTCTTGTCACCATAGAGCCTTTGAGTTTCTGAGCTTGGCACTTTATACACATCAAACAGGACCTAAAGTTTGCATGGTGACTTTGGAAAAATGTGCCTCACTAGGGAATTGTGCCCGTGGAAAAATGTGTTTTGTAAAAGGTGACACCTTTGTGAACTGTGCCTTTTTTTTGGACAAATTGGCAGAAAACTGTTGATATCATCAACAAGAGTCTTGTCACTGTAGAGCCTTTCAGTTTCTGAGCTTGGCACTTTGTACACATCAAACAGGACCTAAAGTTTGCATGGTGACTTTGGAAAAATGTGCCTCACTAGGGAATTGATATAATATAAGTTGGTCATGGGTATGTTATAGGTGTAGATTTCTAAAATTTTAAGTCTGTTAGCCAAGGAAATTTTCAAAGTTGATAGTTTTTATGTTTTGGTTGAATTATAATATTTAAACTGTCCTGGTGATATCGATGATTTCATGTGGATCGGATCACCTTTGGTCTCATCCTTAACATCTATTTGGGATGCGCCCCATTGGAATCCCAGAACATAAACATTCATATTTGTGCTGTTTCAAATTTACACGTGTATATAACATTCAGAGATGGTTTATAGATTTTTATAGAACTCTAGGGATATTGAATGAGATTCTTTCTATGTCTTGATTTTATTATAGTCACATTGTTTATCGCTCTCAAATGTCTTTTCTTTTTTTTTCTAATTCTATGTTTCTTTTTTCAGGTTCTCCCAGATGGATCCTTCTGTAAGTGGGCGTGGTGCAGAACCTGTTTATCGTGATAAAGAGGGTTAGTTTGTGGGCATAAATGAGGAACTCCTTGTCACTTAGGAAGATAGAATTCGTTGAAAAATGAGTTTGAGGACATAATTACAGTGTTCTATGCTATTAGAAAATTGTAACATTTTTTTTTTTGTATTCTACAGGAAAAAAAGTGTCGATGGAGGAGTATATAAAGTTAAAGCAGGGAAAACCAAAACCGGAGGTATGTATTAAAATGTATATTGCATTTATAGACATTGTTGCTATGGAACCTATTAGGAAGGTGGCTGTGTTTTTCTATGGGTGGGCTAGCAAGACAATATTTGGTTTACCCTTCTGCAATTACATTCCGTTTGGTAGAAGACAATAGTTGGGGATATAAATCTTTTATGGTAAAGCGTTTTATGCCCAAACTTCTATATAATCTTTGGTATCAAAGTCTTTTACATTCTATCTGTGCATGCTAGCATATAAATTAATCAACGAATTGTCTCACAGTGCATTTGAAGAAACTTCTTTTAGCTGATTTCTTGTTTTAGTGACATCAAGCCGAATGAAACTTAGGAAAATTTTACTTGTTCGCTTATGGTTCAAATGTATCCTGAAAGTGCTTGTGATAGAGCATCATGTATTAAGTGTGAACTTTTAAGAGAAATACACTCTCTCACCCTTTATTATATTGGAGAGTGAGGCTCTTAGTTTTTTAAGTGTTATGATTTCCCCCCCTTTCTTTTGTTTTTGTTTTTGGGGAGGCGGGAAGGGGAGGTTGTTGAGTGTGGGTGCAAAGTGAGCTTTTCTATGAAGGTTGCCGATTTTAGTAATGCTCCAACATAAGTGTGGTTAACTTCTGGTTCTGGTTGGATCTGGCGTGCTTAACCATCAGGGTTTCCGAAGTCAACGAAGTTGATCTTCAGAGAACTAGGCATTGAGGCTTCTGACAAATGCTTGGTTTAGGTTGGCAATACTCGCTGTTGACCACTGTACCACAATCTTTGATGGAGTCTTGAGCCTCGAACCTTCTTTAATGCTTTGAACCTTAAGCAAATTATAGAAATTGCATTCCACAGTGAAGAAGATGATATCTAGCAAAGGTCTTATCTGGGGATGTCAGCTACCCAAATGCTAGGATTCTTAGAGAAGCATGGATGCATGAGGTGAGATGAGATGAAGAGCTGATTTTCCAGGACTACAGACTGCAACCAGTTGGAGAAAATCTAAATGACATCAAGCCAACACTATCCCTAGGTTAAAAGAATCCAATTGGAAACAATGTCTGGAATTGATCTGGACTCGAGCTAAATTAAAACCTGACACAAACTAAAAGACAAATATACTTTAAAGGAAACTATTCATTTTTGCTGAACAAAATGAACTATCATGTAGTAGCTATGGGTAATTCTTCTTATTAAGGTGTCGCTTAGGGATAAACATGCAACAAAAATTATTATAGGAAACTCTACCAAAATTAATAGTAATCGGTAGTTATATTTTTCTCATCCAGTGCAATCCTGTGAATTGGTACAGCCAAGTTTCAAATGTTTCTAACTTTTGCTAAATCTTTGGCATCTTGGCATGTCATTTCATGTAAAAATGTTGTCAGACTTAATCCAAATTGTTCACGTTCTGTGATACATTATTTATAATTATTTTAACATGATCTTCCTCTTTTCAACAAGTCATTGAGTAGGATACAAGCGTTTCATCTTTCATATGCTATGAGCACATGCACATCTGATACCATTACAGCAAAACCATCTATTCTGGGACTTCTTTCAATGAATTGTGGTGATCACGCCTCTAGTACCCATGATTTTAAACATCTTCAATGGATAATCACGTCTTAGTTATGAGAACAATTGAAGTTCATTTAGACATGATACGAATGCTTTGGAGTTTGAATAAGTGTAATGAGCCATTTCCTTGGAAACAGAACGGCGAGAAGACTGTTTAAATGCGAAAGAGGAAATTGCATGAAACATTAAAAGAAAGATTGAATCATTTAAATGTTTTTCTAAATGAAATGGCATTCGGAGATATTGAATTTGCTAAGATGCTGCAAACAAGTATGGATTAAGGGCCTCTGATATTCCAGTGCATGCTTGGAATATTAACGCTTTCAGTGCAGTTGGTATGGTCTGATGGTTGGGTTGTGAAAGTGGATTGGGAATCCATAGTTGGAGAAAGGTTTGGAGAAGCTCAAATCAGAATACAAACCTTCCTCCGCCGTTCCAAGTTTCTCTTTTTGTGGTCGACAGAAGAGATTATGACCAAGGATATCAATATTGGAAAACCAACCTACCATGGTCCCTTCATCTAATGCCTCTAGCCTTGATGCAGTCCCAACCTAATGACCCTCAGGGGTAAGTGAAGCCAATAAAAATAAAAAAAGTCCAGGTTCCAGGTGCTCAAGTTTGGCAAGTAGTTACTAGGTGAAGGGCCAAAAGGCTCTTGTTCAAAGAAGGAACTAGATCTGCGGAGGATCAAGAACCAGGGGAAACCAGGGTGCGGGCAGCTTGGGGAAGATGATCCCAGTCAGCAGCCCTGCTGGCAAGAATCTAAAGCGCAGACCAATTAGCAGAGATCATGCGGATTCCTTCAGCACATTAGGATCGAGATATATTGGTTATCCTTGCAGCTACCAAATAACGCAAAAATCTGATCAGAGGAGCATTTAGGATCGAAGTACCCGACATTGGATGGCCTAAAATGATGAATCCACTGTCACAGACTCATGCCAAGTTGAATTGACAGTTAGGATTCAGGTAATGGACATGCGGGAATGGTAGATGGTTGAGATTGAAGGATCCTCCTGCACCATAGTGTGGCAAGCTCAAATGATTGAGAGGATGCATGAGGTCCCCCAGGAGGAAATAATTTTGATTATTTGAGAGTTATCTCAATGTGCCTACCAAAAAAAAAAACAATTAGAATTTATCCTTGTCTTCCCAATTCCAGTTAATCCAATTGCCAAAAATGGACTGCTGCTTATCATACCCCATCCCAACCCAGAAACGTGTAGTGTGTGCATTCGACAGCGTTCCCCCCCTCATGACCAAAGTGACCCTTTTCCACCTCTTACTTTCTCCACCCAAGATTGAGATCGAACCGAGGATGTGTTTTCTCTTAATCCACTAGAACTTTTAACTCTTTTGCCTTCCTAACGAGCCTAAATTACCGATCAGCTCCAAAACCATTGCACAACAGCCTAAACCAAGTTGTGGGACATATTCTTGCTGGACTGCTCTGGAAATCATAGAATACTACTAAGGGTTGAAACTTCATCCAACCTGAATCAGCTGTGATGGATAAGAAGTGCAATCCAAACTCGGGAACATTGAAAGATCAGAAAAATGATATGGCAACAGTGTCTATCGGCCTGGTCTCTTGCTATATCTGTTCATTTCCAGCCCCAGATCAATTTATTCCAAGGTCTGTAGGGACTAAAAGGGCCACTCTAGGTTTTGTGAGGCCACAGTTCTCCTAGGCTTCTAAATGGGACAAGGGTGAAGCTCTAGGAAAACCTCAAACAAGCATTTCATCTACAGTCTTGGTTGCTGGAACAGTTACGTCTATGCGGCAGCATTCATTGGTTGCTCGTCTCCCCCTTCTGCGGGTTTTCTTGCACGTGTTCATGCTTTACAGTCAATTCCTTGGGGACTGGGTGTACCTCTCCACTGGTTGTTCCCTCTTCAAGGTGGGGCAAAAGATGGGCCGATATAGACGAAGAAGAAGAGGGAGACATCTTCACTGATGATAATACTTCAAACTATCATACCACTGATCATGAGGAGAAGTAAATAATAGTGATAGCAGAGGAGAAAATGCCTGATGTAGTGGAGGTTATGGCCTGTCATATGAGGAGGGCATGGAGGATATTGTAGAGGCAATTATATCAAATGCCAAGAAGCAGAAGGAATGTTGGAGTGGTAACTGAAGAACTTGGCCTCCTGTATCAACTATGACAGAGCAACCAATTACATTCATGCCCAGTATTGTAGGTGAACCTTGGCACGACTCAACCCTCCCCATTCTAATGAAAGTCTTAGCATGGAACATTTGGGGCCTGGGACTCCTTCAAGCAGAGGTCCAACAAATACTTTGTCAGGTTATATACACCTCAAATTTTGGCAGTGATAGAAACAAAGAAAAGTGGATAATCTGCAACGAACTTGAGAGCAATTGAGGGAGAAAGCTGGCAGAATGTACGGCTGTCCTAGCAGAAAGGTCCATCTGGGGGAATTGAGTTTCTGTGGCACAGAAACATTCTTGTCAAGGAGCATGTCTTAATGGGCATTTTTGATATCCATTACTTTTCTAGAAGCTGGATCAGGATTCAGATGGGATGGGTTTACAGTTTGCTCTATGGACTGAACCATCTGACTGCCCGAGTCATTTTGGAATGGGTTGAATATAATAGCAAATTGGACACTTCCTTAATATATAAGACACAAGCTCTATGAGGTTATATGAGAGGAGGGAGTAAGACTTACTGCTAGTATGGACGGTTTCGCTGCTTTTATCAATGGACATGGCCTGATTGATATTTCGCTTAATGGAGCCTAATTCACTTTGTAGAACCATTGCGAATTCCCTACGCTTGCCAAAAATGATAATGTCTCTGATATCTCCAGAAGGGGAAGCCCAATACCTAGCCGGCCACCCATGTGCCTTATGAAAGCCTATTTCAGACTATGTCCTGACTCTCCTTGATACGTATTGAGTAGTTTTAGGCCCTCCGCCTCTTAGAATCGAGCTTTATATGGATGGAAAATAAGGAACTTCCAAGGTTGACTGGGAGCTGGTATCGATCTTTCTAAATGACGGGGTGAGTAGGTTTTAGACTATGGACTAAGAAGGAGAAATGAAAGACTTGGAACAGGAGAGTGTTCTCCAACGTATAATCAATAAGGAATCAATTCTCAACCATTAAAAACCTTAATTGCTTGGAGGAAAGTAGAGACATTGGTGGACAAGAGTTCACAGATTATATAAAAGCTAAGGCCTTAAATCCGAGGAAAATGTTTTGGAGGCAATTATCCAAGGGTCAAATGACTCAAGGAGTGGGTCAAAATGCTAAACGTTTCCTGTAGACAGGGAGTCGGGAGAATGCCATTCGAAGTGTCAGGGTGTCTGGCTGAGGTGACTTCTGCAAAGGAGGGGTGATTTGAAGATGTTGTAGGGTTGACCAGCCTTATTAAATGCTGGTGGTTGATGTAGAGAGGGGGGAAAGGGGAAGACACTAAAGGAGGTTTCAGAGAGGGGGGAGCAGTAAAAGAATTTCCTTTGTACACAATCCAATTTTGATATATATGCATGTTAATGTTTCCCCAAAAAAAAAAACAGGAAGAAAATAGATGCATGGATTTGCAGATAAATGACGAGGATGGATTCAGGCATACGTTTCATCAGTCTCATTCTCCATCATATTAGATGATTCTTTTATTTTCTTTCTTTCCTAATAATAGAGGCATTCGTTAGGGTGATCCATTGTCTCCCTTCCTTTTCCCTGTTATAGGGCAGAAGAATCATTATCATCCGAGCCTTATTCCAACTATATGGGTTTGGCTGTGATTAAGAAGATTCATGGGTAAAATATTTTCCAAGGATTGTAGGCAGCAGCAGCCCAGTGATCTCTTATACGTAATATGCATATGAAACTTTGATTTCTGCTGAACCACAGATCCGGCAAGTGGACCGTTTGGGCTATTCCTTAGATCTATTGATGAAGCATTGGCCTGCCAATCAATATGAACAAGACTACCTTGATGGCGGTCAGATTGAAGCTGTGAGACTATAAGATTTGGTGAATTTGAATTGGTTGCCAAACAGATTCCTTGTCGAACAAGTATCTCGGATTCCGCTATTGTGTAGTGGGAAACCTTGCGAGGCATTGTGGGAGATGGTATCGGACAGGTGTTATAGGATATGGCTACTTCGAATAGTAACCCTCAATAACTAGGTGATTGGTTTTTTTGATAATGTTAACATTTGTATTGCTGAGAAAGGGAATTACAATGTATTGTTTCTCCAGGAGAACCCTCTAGACGGGACTCCCGGTAAAAACGTCGAAAACCCTTGTACAATAATAGGATTTCCCTCCTAAATATGATTTACAAAATAAGGCTAGGATAGGGCTTATAATTCCCCCCCCTTCAGATGTACAATGACGAGGAAAACTAAAAAGGCAAAAAGAATGTGGACCTAGTTTGAACTGCCTCGCCCTATCTTCTAGCACCCTCCTTCGCCAGCCGATCCGCGAAGTCGTTGGACGTTGTTTTACCTTGTTTAAGTCAACTCTTCATATCTACCGGTCTATTTTATGTCATTGGTTAGGATGCCTGTGACTTTATTTTGGAAGATCAAGAGGTTGCAAAATGAATTCTTTTGGAAGGGATTCAGCTTTGTCATCTTCTAAATTTTCAAATACCATATGGTCAGCCAGGGGCCCAGGATCCAGTATGCCTCTTGAGAGCTGGGATTGGACTATAGTTGTTAGAGATCATGAAAAGACTGAAGATCCCAATGGCTGGGAGCACCATCCATGCAATGCATATGTTAGGGGTCAGGACCTTCAAATCGCAACCTTTTTGGGGACCTTAATCCCGACCTTTTGGGATCTCAATCCCAGCCTTTTGAGGATCTTGCTCCCAACCTTAGCGAGTGGATATAGTCTGGGACTATGTATGCTATTTCAAATAGGGATCTCTTTATCTATAGCCAGCAAGTATTGCAACTATATTAGAAGTATAACTGCATTCCTAGCTGGGTATTATAAAAGAAAGTCATCAGTTTGGTTGTTGTCGTTGTCTTTAAGGTGGCGATCAAGATCCCTAACAGTGGGGATCGAGATCTCTGAGGGGATCAAGATCCCAAAAATTTTAAAAAATCAAGATCCATTGAAGATCATTTTCCCGGAGCACTTTGCGAGATTCTGGAATGGGGTCATCATCCAGGTTGGGAGATTCTTGCAAGTATGGGGTGGACTTGGTATAAGGAGGACGAAAAGCTTTAACAGAGCCTCATGAGAGTGGTTGTGGAGGTATGTAGTGGACTCATTGGCAAAGGAAGGGACATACAGATCAGACTTTTTAATAGCTCCAGTACCCCAATAATCCAACTATGTAAATTTGTTTTTTCTTTGAAATCTTTAATGTAGTTTGTTCAGATTTTTGAGTTAGAGCTCAATCTATAAGGTTAAGAGATTCACTTTGAATAGGAATCGATTCGTGCCTATTGACTTCCAAATTTGAGGACATGAACTGCCGCAAAAGCTTATTCTTTACATTTAGAACTTGGAGACTATGCTTAGAAATCACTTGGTGATTGCATCATTCTGTTTATTTATAGAAAAACGATATCACTTTTTGTATGAGTCCTTTTGGCATTTTAACTAGAGAATTGGTTCACTTCCAGTCTTGTTGCATATCAAAATGGAAAAAATTCATCTGCGTTTTCTGTTGTTTAGGAAAAGAAGTTGGAATGGGGCAAAGGCTTAGCTCAAAAGAGAGAAGCTGAAGCTAGAGAACAGGAACTGGAACTAGAAAAGAATAAACCATTTGCCCGGAGCAGGTAAAATTGTGTGGCTACAATTATTAATGTGTATGTACATTGTAACTTGCCTAGTGTATTTGATAGAGCTTTGTAAGATTGAATTGCTATGATATGGTTGTGATATTTTTAGCATACTAAAAGACAAAACCCTTACCCGATCTGATGTACCAACAAGGTACCATGTGGGAAACGATGATGATACATATACACATGTATGCATATGCATGCATGTGCATATGTGCAGATGAGCAGGTCTTTGTACCAAATAGGACATGGTGATGACACATAAACACATATATGCATATGCATGCGTGTGTATATGTGCAGATGAGCATCTCTCTGTATCAAATAGGACATGGTGAGATGATACATACACACATGCATGCCCGTGTGGATGTGCAGCATGTATGTGTCTGTGAAAGCAATTTATGAATCCCATAGCAATTGTAAATTCTTCTATTGTTACATTACTCCGGGGCATTGTTGATCAATCCCCCAGCTAGCTGCCACATTTTGCCTCTGCCCATAACAAAAGATGTTTTGAGCTCCTCGATAGGCTGAACACCTTAGGCCATTTTTGGACGGACCATTTTTAGGAACTGGCTCCATTATTTCCTTTGCTCAATTAGGAGTGAGAAACAGCTTAGCTGGGTTTGCTCCACTACTCATGGGTGCGGCCCTTGTCATTATGCTTGCTTATGAAGAAAATTCTGCCACAATGCCCTTAACCCTGCAAAAGGAAGGAGAAAAAAAAAGAAAAGAAAGAAAACTGCTTTTCACTTATTTCCAAATAAACACTTTTCTTAATAGAATTGTTGGGCCGTCAAAATGGGGCCTTAGTCATCACTCACTTGTTGCCAATCATCTCTAGGGAAGATATATACAATAGTTGAGTGGATGATGAAAAACTATAGCACATATATGAAATGGACAGTTAGGGATTGGGAATGGGATTCATGGATTGGGACACCTCCTAATGTATGTGGATCCCAGTCCTTCTCCATGACCATCCATCATTTCACTGAATGTTGATGGCCTAATGGTCTATAGGTTCCCATAATCTGTTTGATTGTAGTTTATTTATGCCATCTCTGAATCCATCAAAACGTACACTTCAATTGTTTTCTCGAGAAAATAGACCTACACTTAATGTATCTCCATTCTTCAGTGGTGTTTCATAAATCTGTACAGTTACCATGTAATTGGGACTTGCAAATTCAGTTTCTTTAATAATCACATTATTTGGGTTCAATCGCAAACTGAACTAATATATTTGGGCTGCATATGTAGGCAAACTGGCAAAGGCATTTTAGTTATTTCTCCTATTAAAAATTGGACTCTCTACCCCTTTAATTTCTTTCTTTGTAATTGCCATGGTGTTAAAGTCCATTTATGTTATTTACGTGTCCCAAAAAGGAAAACTAAGCCCACACTGATGTTCTTTGAAAGAAAAATCCTCTTTCGGGTAATATATTGATGTCCTTTCAATGAAAAAATCCATTTCCATTTTTCTAAAGAAAAGTACTTGATGCTTTTGAGTTCACCTCCTGAGCAATTATAGTTTCATTTGTTTGATAAAGTTCTTGTGTTGCAGAGACGATCCTGAACTTGATAAAATGTTGAAGGAGAGGATCCATTGGGGTGATCCAATGGCTCATTTGGTTAAGGTTTATGTTCTTCCTCTTACTCCTGGTGTTTTTGGATGACTGAAACTGGGAGCAGCCACTAATAGTTTCATTTTAATTCCAGAGGAAGCTTTCTGAGCCAGTCCTAGAAGATCTTGGCAATAATGAGGAAATGAAGGAATCAGGTTTTATCATACCACAAACTATTCCTAGTCATAGTTGGTTAAAAAGGGGAATTCATCCACCTGGAAACCGCTATGGTATAAGACCGGGAAGACATTGGGATGGAGTTGATCGTAGCAATGGTTTGTACTATTACCATCTTTAGTTTGTTTTTGTTTAACAATTTTGTGTTTCCTTGTTGTTTAGTATTTCTCTATTTCGTAGAAGAGTTTGATTTCTTTCCTTGAAAACTATCATTTCAGTTTTACTGGTTGAGAAACATGAATTCATACATGCATAGCAATACAACTCTAGGTGTTTTAGTTTTATTCTAACTGGATCCCTTGGTGTCCTTGCACCTCATGTGGGAGATCATTCGGATTTTCAGAGAATACATAATTTCCTTTTGGTTTCTGAAATTAGGTTTTGTTTGCTCAATAGATTTTTTTTACTTGTCTACCAAATGATTGAATGAACCCTCCACTATCATTTGCCATGTTAAAAGTATTCTATTTTTGGTGAAAAACCTGGCCAGGATTGCCATTTGAATACCATGTGGAACCCTATTGATTCTCTTAAAGAAATTACTCCCTTCTTTTTATGTGAACAGATCACAATGAAAAAGGCTATGAAAACCATGAGAAGGATATGACTTTTGTTCTAAAGTTTAAGCTACTTGTGTAACACAGGTTTTGAGAAGGAGATGTTCAAGAAACAAAACGAGAAACGCGCCAAGGAACAGGAAGCCTATCTCTGGTCTGTGTCTGATATGTAGGAAAAGCCCTGTTTGAATCCTTTTTCTTGGTCTCTGCAGAGAGAGAGAGGACGGTGATAGTCTAAATGCCACTATACTTCCCAAACAAGATTAGTTCATGTTTCCGACGAGAATCCGCTGTCTCTATGTTGGATGTGTCGAGATTAGTGCTTTTTGTACGTTAGTCTTTGGAAGGCTGGCTCCACAATATAATCGAAGATGCTCTCTCTCTCTCTCTCTCTCTCTCTCTCTCTCCCTCTATATCTCTCTACCCCAATTAACTATGGTGAAAATTATTACGCCGTTGTTATAGTGGATCTTGAATACTTCCCCAAAAATTTTTATGCGCATGCACGTACACGCTCTCTCTTTTTCGCCATTTCGTGTTCATGCTCAGCTTGCTTATAACAATGCTTCTTCATGCATTCAAAGGATTATGCATTCCAGGTTTTAGGTGCTTTCTTCTGCAAATCAATGTTATCAGATTCGCTTTATGGTCTCTTTCGGTTTGGTGAGAAAAATGAAGCAATTTGGTGGTTAGGTCGATTCAGGGGAAGTTTTTGGATTTTTTTTTTAAAATAATATAAATAAATTAGATATTTATATATAGAATAACTAATGAAAAATATAAAAAAATAAAAAATAACTTAGTATATATTTTTTTCTTTGCTGGCCGAAGTAGATCCAAAGAAGACCCGAATCATATCTGAGGCGGTTCAAATATGGCTGAACCAGCTTGAATTTTATTGAAGCAGCAGCACTTGGCTTTGCTTCTTTTTGGTTTATGCCCAAAATCCGAAGGCGAAGATTGAAGGCTAATGAATATGATTCACTTTCAAGAAAAAGAAAAAAAAAGAAAAAACAAATGTTTGACAAGCATGGGAGAAAAGAGCATCTATTTTGAAATGCATTTAGGCGGCATAAGGGCGGGTCTCATGATAAAGTCTGAAGACTAAACACAAGTACATGTTCACTAAATTGGAACGCGTTTGGAGAAAGCACAAGTGCGTGAAATTTATGTGTGTTTTCATCACTTTCTTGCTTGCATCTCCAATTAATTGGAATACCTCCAATTACTAATGTCGAATGCATCTTTTTCCTTGGTTCTTATTCTCACTTATGGGAACGTATAACCCAACACTTGCATTAAAGAACGGAAATTAATGCATCTTTTTCCTTGGTTCTTATTCTCGCTCATGGGAACGTATAACCCAACACTTGCATTAAAGAACGGAAATTAATGCATCTTTTTCCTTGGTTCGTATTCTCGCTTATGGGAACGTTTAACCCAACACTTGCATTAAAGAACGGAAACGTTTGGATGCATTAATTCTGTATTTACTTCACATATACTGCACTTGGGTTTTCAAAAAAGTAGACATATGTGTATCTCCCAATGCATAGAGATGGAGTCAAAAAATAGTCCTCACAAATAAATGGTGGAAAAATATATATAATTTTTACTTTGGTACAATTAAAATTTCCATATTTACAACACCTAGTTTAGATTAACAAATCCTAAAATTTTGAATGAAAAAAACCATCTTAAAGATGAAATTTGAAAGGAAGTCGCATATCTGGCTTACCCATGTGAAGGAATTTGAGAGAACCGTCAACGGTTGGAGAAGTGCTAGGACACCAGTGGATAAAGGGGTGCAATTAAAGCTGGGGAGCTCGGCCTATGAGGGTGAGAAACTGATACAGAGACATGGCTTCTCTGAGAAGCAATTTGGTCCCGTCCCTTAATTTTCTTCTTCCCCGGCCGATGAATAACAACTTCAAAACAAGGTCGAGGATCCTCTGCGTAGGATGGGTGAGTTTCTCGCTCTTCTCTCTTTCTATGCCATGCCCCTCTCTCTCTAAGCATGGGTATGTAGTTTCTCATTTGAATGGTTTTGGTTAAGGAAGGACCCCGAGGGGTTGTTGGGTCCTCCTCAGACAGGGCATATTACGAGATTGGAGTTTAAGAGGACGCTCGAAAAAGACGCCGGCGCTCGCGAGGCCTTCGAGCGCCAGGTCCGAGAAGAGCAGCAGCAGCGCCGCACTGCTAGACAGGCAAAACTCTCTCTCTCTCTCTCTCTCTCTCTCTCTCTTTCTCTGCCCTCTCTCGCACCTAATTTATGGGTAATTTATGCTTCAGGGACGTGTGGTGCCTGATACAGTTGAAGGCTTAGTGGAATACTTTTTGGACACTGAAGCCCGAGAGCTCGAATTTGAGATTGCAAGGCTGAGGCCTCGGTCTGTATATTTCCCTCAAAGTTTGTGTATTCTCTCTCTTTGTTGGAGTTTTATTCATTGTACAAGTTTTTTTAGGATTTTGAAAGTATAATAGGAGTGTCAAGCATTTAAATATTAAAGAATTATGGCCATGTAAACTTTATGAGCTTAACAGAATGTCCTTGTTGCTGTATACCTGCATTTTCTGTTCGTAATATGTATTTTCCTTATTTTTGGAATATTTTGCAATGATTACATTTATGTTGAATATCTTATTTTATGCATATGACCAGTGTACATAAAAAGGACTCGGCCCTTGGCCAAGGTGAGTTACTCGAGCAAGTACAAGTAACTCAGGCATGTCCAG